GTCCCATGTATAAGCTGACTGACAAGTTTCTTGGACCTTACGGAGCTCTTGAGCATATCACATTTTCCAGTAGAAACTGGAAAATCTAGCTACAGGTGAGCATGTAAATCAACATCTCAATCACATGAAATTAACCCGACTGATGGTTGATGATGACAACCCAGTACCTGTAAGTGATAACGTAATGACTGACCCTACCACCGTGACACCCACTCTGGTCGCAGACACAAACAATGTTGCTGCAATACCTGGTACTCACACTTGCAACCTTCGGTCCAGACCAGTTATTTTGACAGAACACCAACAACAGTCTGATGATAAATGCGTGTGTGACTGGTGTTCCTGTCTGTAAAGGACAATGAATGCGTTATATCAGCTCCCCACTTCCTGTCAGTATGTAGCAGAGAATGACTACGTTCGTGAAGAACTAGCATCTGAGAATAATAGTTTTTATGTTTAGCTGTTAGGGTCATGCTTACAATATTATTGACAAAGTTACAAACTTATGTCTACTAACTTCTACCCTTTTTCCAACTAACTTTAGTTAATACTTTATGAGAGAGCTCGTCCTGATTGAGTGCCCAACCATTAATGTGTGTGTTCGACCCTTTTATGAAACATTCCCACAACGTATCCGTTGAGATTTTCTGAATAATAAAGACACCAATTAGTGTCTTTCTTAGTATGTTTTATACATCAGTTATCTTTCCTTTGCCTCAAATGTATATAATATGATACGTACGCAGTTCACCCTAGTTCATTGTGTCAATCTCATCACGTCTCTTCCAGTCACTGTTACGTTTAAGTCCTCGTGTTTCTGCCACGTCCCTGCTCTCCATATTTTAGGTTAACGTCACGTATACTATGTACTATGTCGTGCCTATGTTAGTATCTACCGTTTATAATTTGCTTAACAGGTAACACCGTGGCTGAGCATCATGATCCCTGTGCACCACTTCTGGTCCACTCTCTCTACATCCTACGACTACTCTGTCTCTACCTTCAGATGGACCTACTGCCTCCAGTATGCCCAGACGTTTACCTAGTCAGTCATGATGCTCCATGGATAGCTTAGTTTAGAATTATATATATATGCAATATACTCTATATTCATGCCTGTCCGAGACGTTGTTGGACGTCTCATAGCTTGTTTAAGGGCCACCATAGATAAATACTACTGTACATAAATGTTAGTTAGGTTCACAACGAAGAAGTTCGTCAAGCACGCCGATGACAGCGTGCAGAGCGGTGTGGATGCACGTGGTCACACACGTGATGACTTCATTCATCAACTGCATATTGCCAACACTCAACTCAGCAGCAGTTGTCAACAGCAGCATAAACACTGCGTGGAGATGTGCATCTTCCCCAAATGTGACTACACTCCAACAACTAGGCCATCTTGAGCAGCGGCGCTGCACACACACTCGATAGCTAGCTCGTGGCCCAGTAAATAATATATTTTGTTTAATAAAGATGAAAACGCCCTAGCTGTTTGTTCTGCGTCCCTCCCCACTACAAGAAAGCTACAATCACAACCAAACAGCAAATAATATTCCAAGTGGTTGGCTATCATTCCTTTCCTTCAGCCAATCCTAAATTAATTTCCTCATATCCCTTCCAAGTGCTTTATATTCATAATTCCTTAGTACTTTCTCCTGATAGGTACTTAACCTATCGAGTGCTGAAAATGGATAATATCACTCGTATGGGAGAGTGCTATGAAAATGTATAGGAGCATAAATAACAAGCTGAAAAATTATTGTGGAGCAGCATCAATACTTAAGGATAGTAAATTATCATAATAAATATATTTCTACATGATCTACAAGTGTCAAAAAATATCCCACATATTTTACATAAAAATTATACAACTAAATCTACCCTAAAGAATGATATTTCTGTTGTGGTAGAAACTTTAACAAAACTTAATATACATGAACAAAATAAATCATGATTAAATTCTCCATTCCTTGTGGAGAAAATGTGAAATTGCGTCTCAATATATTTAACATATCATGCAATTTAAAGCTTTATTTAAATTCTAAAAGCGTGCAGTCCGAAGGCTGAATTATACTTGAAGGTTTGAATTCATTTAATTATAATACTCAATAATATAAGTCCAACTCCACTACTTCCTAATGAAGAATAAGTGCAGCTGTTCCTGCGTTAAGGGATATTCTACGCTATTCTCTACAACAACTTCGTTATACCATTGGGAAGTGCTGTGTTGCCGGTTAACATAACTTGACTATAACATATGTGGCCATATTATGTATATCGAAGATTAACCGGTAATGCTGCCGGACAATACACCCAAACTGGTGAGCGTCCAACGTCATTCTCATTGTCCTATCTGCACTATAGATGTTGTCTTGCATTTGTTATAATGTAACAATCCGGCAAGTGGAATTGTGACTGCTGAGACATTAGCAGCGTCGGAACTGTATTATCAAGCTACACGAGACGGCGCCATGAGCCTCATGGTCCACGAGGAGACAGCTCACGTGGTCCGGACGGCGCCATGAGCCTCATGGTCCACTAGGAGACAGCTCACGTGGTCCGGACGGCGCCATGAGCCTCATGGTCCACTAGGAGACAGCTCACGTGGTCCGGACGGCGCCATGAGCCTCATGGTCCACTAGGAGACAGCTCACGTGGTCCGGACGGAGCCATGAGCCTCATGGTCCAGGAGGAGACAGCTCACGTGGTCCAGAGGAGTTCACGGACTGTTGATCAGGGCCGCATTCTACATTGACAGCTTAGCTTGTCTATAATTATATAATTAACTAGTATTAATCCGAATCCTAATCATTAGTATGAATTTTCTACTAACTGATTAGTTTCAATTTAATATAATAAAGTGGACCCCCCCTCAAAATTTATGAGGAGTTTATTAGTGAGGAAAATTATTTTCTATACGGTCCACTTGTAAAATAAATAATTTAATAGTAAAAATCTACATAAATAATTTAATAAATTCAATAAATAAATAATAGAATTAAAATCCCACTGGTAAATTCCAGACACCATGAAAGATCTACATGAACTCCACAAATGGTCAGAATACTGGCAAATGCTTTTTAATATTGACAAAAGCAAGAAAGACCGTGCATGAGAGGCATAACAACCCACCTCATAACTACCAAATTGATAACATTACATTACAGCAGATTAATGAAAAAAAGGACTTTTGAGTCCTAATGCACCACTCACACAAAGTTGCATAACAAGTAGGAGCAGCAGTCAAAGAAGCTAAGCAAACGCTTGGAATAATCAAGCGCACCTTTCTTATTAAAGACAAGAAAGTAGTGATTCAATTCTATAAATCTCGGATGCGCTCAAGAGAGATCTTGATAAACACCTCCAAAGGAACAGTATTCAATGAAGCTGTGATTCATACGTCCGGCTGCGAGCAGCCGCGCTAACAGCCTGGTTGACCAGTCCAGCAACGAAGAGGCCTGGTCGAGGACCGGGCCACGGGAACGTTGAGTCCCGAAATCATCGCAAGGTAACCGCGCTCATTTGTATTAGTGTCCAAGCATGGAGCCCACATCTTCAGAAGGACTTAGCTGCTCTGGAGAAAGTACAACACCGCGCAGCAAAAATCATTCCTAAACTAAGTCAACTCTCAGATCAGGAATTGCTGAGGGCCAGAGGACGAATGTTACACTGCACACCAGGCATGACACCGGATATCACTGAAACCTTAAACAAACTGAACAATTTGGAGGAATACTGATGCAGACTATTTCTTCAAAAGGTCAGATTTAACACAAACAAGGAGTAACGGCTTCAAGCTCAATAAGCCACAATGTAGGACTGAGACAGGAGATTCTTGTTCACCCAAAACAATGCTATAAACTCACGGAACTGCCTATCGCCGACGCCGTAAATGCCAAAAGTTCAGCTGGAAAAGATCATCAAGGCAAATGCGGGACTTTCGACAAGCCGCCGGCTTCTTGTCCTCGTCGAAGTCACTAGTGTTAGTGGCAAATTCAGGTAAATATTTAAATAATAAATAATATAATCAATTATATTCTAATTAATGTGTATGTGATGTGGTTTTGTAAATCCCACTCTGGAAGATGTGGCTGGGATGAGCACTTGCCACAGTATGGGGTGATGTGACACTGTAACTCACACTGTAGAAGATGTGGCTGGGATGAGCACCTGCCACAGTATGGGGTGATGTGACACTGTAACTCACACTGTAGAAGATGTGGCTGGGATGAGCACCTGCCACACTATGGGGTGATGTGACACTGTAACTCACACTGTAGAAGATGTGGCTGGGAATGAGCACCTGCCACACTATGGGGTGATGTGACACTGTAACTCACACTTTAGAAGATGTGGCTGGGAATGAGCACCTGCCACACTATGGGGTGATGTGACACTGTAACTCACACTGTAAAAGATGTGGCTGGGATGAGCACTTGCCACACTATGGGGTGATGTGACTCTGTAACTCACACTGAAAAAGATGTGGCTGGGAATGAGCACCTGCCACACTATGGGGTGATGTGACACTGTAACTCACACTGTAAAAGATGTGGCTGGAATGAGCACTTGCCACACTATGGGGCGATGTGACACTGTAACTCACACTGTAAAAGATGTGGCTGGGAATGAGCACCTGCCACACTATGGGGTGATGTGACACTGTAACTCACACTGTAAAAGATGTGGCTGGAATGAGCACTTGCCACACTATGGGGCGATGTGACACTGTAACTCACACTGTAAAAGATGTGGCTGGAATGAGCACTTGCCACACTATGGGGCGATGTGACACTGTAACTCACACTGTAGAAGATGTGGCTGGGATGAGCACCTGCCACACTATGGGGTGATGTGGCACTGTAACTCACTGTAAAAGATGTGGCTGGGATGAGCACCTGCCACACTATGGGGTGATGTGACACTGTAACTCACACTATGGAAGAAGGTGTGATGAAGAAGACAAGAACAGTACAGAGGGGAGTGTAGATACATACGTCTTACCCTGTAGCCCGGGCCGCACTCCACGTCATCGGCTAGGGTGCAGCGCGTCCAGGGACCCGCACGCCAGTGGTGGGTGGTGCAGGCCACGGGGGCGTGGGCACACCCTCGCTCCTCCTCCAGGCTGGGGCACGCCTTACCTCCCTCACTGGGCTGCACCAGCACTCGTCGCCACCGCCGCTGCACCGACGACACCAACACTCCGTCTGCAGGTGATCGACACTCTCGTTACTGGTGCAATTTTCTTCTCACAAAACCTTGTATGATTAGCTTTCATAGGGATCAGTTCACTCACCCGTGGTCTAGAAATGATACAACAGTGGATCAGGAATGTTTATGGAAGGTTATGGGGTATGTTGTGCATGGGGATAAGGCTTGCTCACCAAGGTTATGGGGTATGTTGTGCATGGGGATAAGGCTCGCTCAAAAGGGGAGCCAATTGGGGGATAACATATAATATAATATTTCTCTGCATCCAGAGGTCATTCAGATACGAGCCAAGAACTAGTTGCTCACGAATCATATATCACACATTACTCACGGTTACTCACGAGCCATCAATCACTCGACTAAGGTTTACAATCGCGGGACTAGCATTATTTAGAAATGGGATTTTTCACCACCGGGACAGATCAAGCACTTGTAATAACTTACTAATGGGTCATGAATCACTTATCAATAAGTCAAAAGTCAATAATTCATAGATCATTGTTCCACTGTCCATATACCAGTTGACAGTCCCTGGCATGTCAAAGGTCTCTACTATGCGCCTGGGGACAGTCCCTCGTGAGCCAAGGATAATTAAGGACACCAGGAGACAGTCTCTTGAATAAAAAATAATTTTGCTTGACTACTCGCCAAAGTTGGATGTGTATTCTGAGGCGAAAGTCTCTCACTTCCTTGAAAGAACACCATTATATTGCAAAGCCAACCACAAATACACCTGCTAATAAAACCTGGAGATATTGCCTTGGTGATAGTCAAGGCAACACGATCAGTATTTTCACTTGATCCCCCATCCACAGGGACGCCCAGGTGGGGTCTTGCAAGTGGTCCAAGTGTCTTCTCAAGGGCCCTGTTTCACAACAATATTATTTCTGCATTCTGAACCTTTTCAAAAGTTAAAGTAAATAGCCAGGTAGCCAGTACCAAGGCCAAAGTACAAGCTTGTGGTGAGAGACTAAGGAGACTTACCTAATGTAATCTCTGAAGTCCAAGGAGAGGGAGCCCTGTCATTCCACTGCCCCCCCCCCCTAGCTGTGGGAAATTACCATGAATAGCCAAACAATATAGAAAAAACGCTCGAGACACTAACCCAACATATCTCCTTCACTCTGGACTTGATGAAGTATCAAATTAAACCTTGACATGCAGATCAATCCTATTCTAAGAGTTAAAGCCGGACATAAATGTTTATATAATCCACAGTAATACAAGGTGGGAGTCAGGGATCAGTAACATAAGAGTCAGGGATCAGTCACACACAAGATAGGGATCAGTAACTCAAAAGTCAGGGATCATTGTTGGAAATTTCCAACACATAATCACTTAACATTTAGTACTTTAAGAATAATTCTTGTACTAACAATTATATTTACTAATACTACTAATCAGCAGTGTAATAATAATAATTCATTTCTTACTGAGTAATAACCGCTCCAAATCTTTCCCACTGTTTATAGGGAAGTTGCGTCAGCCAGTTAGCAACAGGAAATAATTTTCCAAATATCTGTGGATCAAATAGAGTCCAGTTATTTACCTTCCTTTATTAAGTATAATCGTTATTAATAAGCTTACTTTATTTAGTATATTTCTGTTTACTGGAATTCATTTACCAAGCTAGATTAGCTGTTCCAGGGAATAATGTTATAATGTTAAATAATTTCTACTCCAAATCATTCTCATTTATTTACCGCAGTCTAAATTAATTGACTTGCATTACAAGAAAAAATATTGTCGCATAACACATTTATTTATGACATAAATATTAGTCAAACCCACTTCCTTCCACATTTAACATTAAATAAATAATATAGTTTAGGCTCGGGGTCCCAACTGGGAGCTATTGCGGATACGTCACCCCGAGAGGAAAGGGAGAGAGAGGGACGGCAGCTTTATTCTGACTGACAAGCAGTGTCTGGAGCTTGCTAATTTTAACAGCCTATATTTACGAACACAACACAACTCGCGAACACAAAGACGCTAATTTCCTACTCAAGGTTTAATATTTGTGATCACAAAATGTTAGCTGGTAGGATGTTCGTACTTAGGTTGCATGGACTCTAAGTATCAACAAGTGAGTACCATGCTAGATCGTTTCCACATTTTCATTTAGAAATAGGTGCTAATTAGCATTGTTATAAACAAATCTAACATTTTACCCATATTTCAGCTTGTGCCATAGTGACAAGAAGGGAGATAAGCCTCTACTTCAACGGGTGTTCTAGGACAGCCTCTTTCTACAAGTTTTCTTGACGTGACTGCCCAGACACTTATATTTCTGCAACACAGTAAAGCTGCTGTGTATTTTCTAAATTAGTAGATTACTAACATTTATTTAAATACGATCTTCAATATAAGATCATATATTTAATAACATTCTATATATTTTTGTCATGTGATTTATTACTGATATTCTTGATACCTTAATGACATATTATTTGATACGTATTAGTATCTAATTTATTGTGCAAGTAGCTCATTAGTTTCTTTGTACTATTATATTAACCCTCCAAAGAGTGTGGAGGGATTTGGCTCTATTATTTAATTATTATTCTACAGTCCATTATTGTTTTAATATTTCCAAGAGCAATTATTCAAGAGATCCATAGACACTGGTTCTAGTATATATTTACAATTTATATATTTAATTTATTTCTCCTTTAAAATTAGTGGTGCTTCGATATTATTCAAATTCATTATATTTATTATAAGTATTCTGGAGCCAGATTTTCCCACATCAGTCACACACGAGTCACGGATCAATCACACACGAGTCATGGATCAGTCACACACGAGTCACGGGTCAGTCACACACAAGTCAGGGATCAGTCACACACGAGTCATGGATCAGTCACACACGAGTCACGGGTCAGTCACACACAAGTCAGGGATCAGTCACACACGAGTCATGGATCAGTCACACACGAGTCACGGGTCAGTCACACACAAGTCAGGGATCAGTCACACACGAGTCAGGGATCAGTCACAAACGAGTCACGGGTCAGTCACACACAAGTCAGGGATCAGTCACACACGAGTCAGGGATCAGTCACAAACGAGTCACAGGAGTCAGGGTCACACACACAAGTCAGGGATCAGTCACACACGAGTCAGGGATCAGTCACAAACGAGTCACGGGTCAGTCACACACAAGTCAGGGATCAGTCACACACGAGTCAGGGATCAGTCACAAACGAGTCACGGGTCAGTCACACACAAGTCAGGGATCAGTCACACACGAGTCAGGGATCAGTCACAAACGAGTCACGGGTCAGTCACACACAAATCAGGGATCAGTCACACACGAGTCAGGGATCAGTCACAAACGAGTCAGGGTTCAATCACACACGAGTCAGGGTTTAGTCACACACGAGTCAGGGTTCAGTCACACACGAGTCAGGGATCAGTCACACACAAGTCAGGGATCAGTCACACACGAGTCAGGGTTCAGTCACATACGAGTCACGGATCAGTCACACACAAGTCAGGGATCAGTCACACACGAGTCAGGGATCAGTCACACACGAGTCAGGGATCAGTCACACACGAGTCAGGGATCAGTCACACACGAGTCAGGGATCAGTCACACACGAGTCACGGATCAGTCACACACAAGTCAGGGATCAGTCACACACGAGTCAGGGATCAGTCACACACAAGTCAGGGATCAGTCACACACGAGTCAGGGATCAGTCACACACGAGTCAGGGTTCAGTCACACACGAGTCAGGGATCAGTCACACACAAGTCAGGGATCAGTCACATACGAGTCAGGGATCAGTCACACACGAGTCAGGGTTTAGTCACATACGAGTCACGGATCAGTCACACACAAGTCAGGGATCAGTCACACACGAGTCAGGGTTCAGTCACACACGAGTCAGGGATCAGTCACACACGAGTCAGGGATCAGTCACACACAAGTCAGGGTTTAGTCACACACGAGTCACGGATCAATCACACACAAGTCAGGGATCAGTCACATACGAGTCAGGGATCAGTCACACACGAGTCAGGGTTTAGTCACATACGAGTCACGGATCAGTCACACACAAGTCAGGGATCAGTCACACACGAGTCAGGGTTCAGTCACACACGAGTCAGGGATCAGTCACACACGAGTCAGGGATCAGTCACACACAAGTCAGGGTTTAGTCACACACGAGTCACGGATCAATCACACACAAGTCAGGGATCAGTCACACACAAGTCAGGTATCAGTCACACACAAGTCAGGGATCAGTCACACACAAGTCAGGGATCAGTCACACACAAGCCTGGGTTTAGTCACACACGAGTCACGGATCAATCACACACAAGTCAGGTATCATTCACACACAAGTCAGGGATCAGTCACACACAAGTCAGGTATCAGTCACACACAAGTCAGGGATCAGTCACACACAAGTCAGTGTTTAGTCACACACAAGTCAGGTATCATTCACACACAAGTCAGGGATCAGTCACACACAAGTCAGGTATCAGTCACACACAAGTCAGGGATCAGTCACACACAAGTCAGTGTTTAGTCACACACAAGTCACGGATCAATCACACACAAGTCAGGAATCAGTCACACACGAGTCAGGGATCAGTCACACACAAGTCAGGAATCAGTCACACACGAGTCAGGGATCAGTCACACACAAGTCAGGAATCAGTCACACACGAGTCAGGGATCAGTCACACACGAGTCAGGGATCAGTCACACACAAGTCAGTGTTTAGTCACACACAAGTCACGGATCAATCACACACAAGTCAGGTATCAGTCACACACGAGTCAGGGATCAGTCACACATAAGTCAGGGATCAGTGAAACAAAAGTCAAGGATCAGTCACACACAAGTCAGGGATCAGTGAAACAAAAGTCACGGATCAATCACACACAAGTCAGGAATCAGTCACACACGAGTCAGGGATCAGTCACACACAAGTCAGGAATCAGTCACACACAAGTCAGGGATCAGTCACACATAAGTCAG